TTGTTATTTCTGTCTTCTCTTCCATTGTTGCCACCAATAGCTTGTAACAACATCTCCCCAAGTTGACTGGCTAAATTGTCGATTCGTACGTTTTGAGCGTCCAAATCCACTCGAGTAATTGGGACAACAGTTTCATGATCACCCATGATAGGCCAATAATACCGAGACGAGAGAGACCTGCTCTGATACCACTTGACGCAGCACAAGCAAATAGATTTTCAAGTGAAAATCCTAAAGAACAATTATCTGGAATCCACCAGGAAATTAGAGAGAAAATTCTCTTTGAAATATTTGATAAAAGTCGAGATGCTTTCAACCAAGCATGACAGCTAATTAAATACAACATTCTCACCCATTGGGTTGCCTAGGGAGTTATTGAAAACGTAACTGAAAGGAAACGAAAAACCTGTAAATTGAATACTATGCTCTCACCCATTAGACTACCCTTGGGAGTTATTGAAAACGTAACTGAAAAGAAACGAAAAGCCTGTAAATTGAATACAATTTTTAAATGCACTTTTGGAACGTATTATGCGACCCAATCGGAGCTCGGACGCCAAATCTGTAAATTCCTACTACGTCCTTTTTCCCTTCTTCGCTCCAATTCTTCTTCAATCCATTCAGCCATTTGTTCTACATCATGATCCTAATCTATTTTGTAATTACTTTGTAACCATCCCTTGATCATAGCCCCTCTTGATACATAACAACTTATTTTTGAATATTTGTAACTATACAATCATTTATATAAATGGAGAAGAAAACCTCGACACAGTTGGGTGAGGAAACCTGAATCTTATATGATATCAGATTGCCTTTAATCCTCAAGTGCCTTCCCATCTTATATCCTTATTCCTTTATGGATTCTTCCAATGCTATCTTAGTACTCATTGCAAAGACAAAAACCAAGTCCATTACTACTCCTAATCAAACAATTCCAATGCCCAACCCTCCTCACTCCCATTCTCTAAAATTCACTCCCGCTAATTATCTTCTTTGGACAATACAATTTGAACATATCCTAATTTCTCACGATCTAGAAGGTATCATAGATGGATTTGATGTTGCACCACCGACAACAATAAGTGTGGGCAATAGTACTTCTCAATCCAATCCAAAGCATCTCACTTGGCGCAAGCGTGACCAAAGGCTTTGCAACTGGATCATTGCCTCATTATCTAAAGATGTTCTTCTACACATAGTCGACACTTCAACATCCTCTGAAGTATGTACATGTCTCAAGCAAGCTTTTGGATCCCCTAAAAAGATTCGTCTTCATCAATTAAATATTCACCTCCAAAATCCCTCAAATCAGCCAACATCATTTTTTTAAATCCTATATTCATTCATTTTCCTCCATGGCGTCTGCTAGCAACTATGTTGCTTCCTCTCTTTTTCATAATCTGCAATATGCATCACATATACAAAATATAACCTTCCGCACCAGAAATTTTTTAAGAGTAAAATCTAAATAATGAAAATTTTGAAATTAAAACAGAGTAGCACTTCAACGTAAAAACATGTAGAGCTAACATGATAGAGCACATAAGAGAAAACTATGCCACTCCCAGCAATATTATCCACTATCAGCCAATTTTTTAAAACCACAAAACAAAACAAAAACAGATTCATAATGTAGCCCTTACCCTTTGCCTCGATGATACCTTTTTCGTGCACAAATCTCGATGATACCTTTTTCATGCACAAAACTCGTTACCTTTGTCATCGCCCTTACCTTTATCAGATTCATAACGTAGCCCTTACCCTTTGCCTCGATGATAGCAGCAGATTCATGACAGATTTGTGCTCGCCGTAGGGGTAAATTGTGTCTATTTTTAATAAAAACTCTTGCTAATCTCTCCATTGCTAATAGGTACACTGGTCCAAATCAATTGAAAGTTGGTAATGGAAATGGGCTAAGTATTACTCATGTTGGCTCCTCTTCTTTCTCAATTTCTACTAGCTCTTTGAAGGAAACATGCATACAAATTATTTTTAATGGGATTATAAGCTGCAATAATATTGAATCCTGCATTCAAGAGGCAGAAACGAAAAAGGAAGAAAGGATGCGAGATTACCATTGAAGTTCATCTTGGTGAGACCAAGTATTTCACCTTAGGTAAGGTCTTCTTCCTTGCTTGATTCTTCTAGGATTTCTTCACAAGGTACCAAAGTAGATATCCTGTAGTTCATCACACCAAATGTTTAGAGGCGAAGAGGAGAGCAACCAAGAAAGTGGAGATGCTAGACTCCTTCTCTTAGTGGAACGACTTTTAGCAAAGGTGGAGAAGAGGATTTCTTCTTCTTCTCAACACCACAACCTAAAAGCCTCAAAATCCTAACTTGAGAATAGCCTAAGTGTGCCTTATATAGGTAAGCCACATAAGTGAGGAAAAACCCCCACTATCAAAACCTGATATGGGTATATGGGGCTTCTCTTGGACTCACTTTAATTTGTATTGTCATACACCACTTATTTTTGGGCCCAATGGGTCCATAGGTATTTTTCCTTTTGGCCCATAATCACTTTAAAACCCAAAACTACTCCATTGTCAAAGTAATTTCATAATTAACATATTATTTGTGATTTGTGACTTAACTATTGAGTCCTAACCATAGTCTGAATAGTTTGACTTGGTCAACTATTTTGACTTTGACCGTTGACTTTAACTTTTGTATCTCAAGTTTCTTCTTCTTCATTTGTTCCTCTAACTACATTTTTTGTGTGTGCGATCCGTAGGTTCCATTCAGCGAGGCAGTGGGTTGTCTCAACTCTTCCAAATTGATTGTGAATTAAATCAAACCATTTAACTCTTCCTATTAGCGAATGCCAATTATAATTGAACCTTACATGACGTCCACAAACCATGATTTACATCTAGCAGTATGTCATGGCCACCCAAGCTAATAAGAAAAGGTGAAGAACCTACTCAAGTTCGAATGACCGTGAAATTGAATTCTTCTCTAATTCAATACTCCTTATTCACATTATTAGGTTATGGATGCTTATGTCAAATCCTTAATTTGAATTATCTTTCTACATGATTATCCTAGTTGTGATTTGAAAACATCTTCTTTCAAATCATATTCATTACTTTGCTCAAAGATTTCATCAGTCATATCTCAAAAGTATTCTCTCTCCTTACTGAGAATATTGAGAGTCCTAAAAACACCTTTAGGTCATGTTTTATAAGATAACTGTATAGTGCTTATGATACCACTTGAAGGAAATGTGCTATATTTGGAAAAACTTATTAAGCCACAACCTAGATTAATCTTCTCCTTTTTGGTTCTCAAGAAAAAGCCTCACAAATGTGGGACCTCACTAAGGAAGTGATGGAAGAGATGAGTGAAGCCTTGAAAGGAGTTGATGCTAGTGAACTCTCTCAAGGGGTGCTCGACCTTGGCTATGAAGGAGGAGAGCTCGATGGTTCTCTTCCTCTTCATACAAATAGCACAAAACCCTAACTCTTCTAAAGATGCAAAGTGTGTATATATAGCCCCACAAGAAGGAGACCTAAGTCTCCCTCTAGGTAAAACCTGCCCTAGGGTCTTCATTTGGCCTTTTGGGCTTATGTGGTCATCCTACTATGCCCACATATCTTAACTAGCCCAATGGGTCCAAACCCAATAGGCCTTGAATCCAATTTTAATTAATTAAATTTCTATTAATTTAATAAGTTAATTCCTATTTACTGTCTAGGAATTTTACATGAAACTACACCACCATATTCTCCCGCATCTAATGGCGTAGCAGAAAGAAAAAATCAAAATTACATTGATTTGACAAATGTTGTAATAATTAATTTAGGTGCTCCTTCTGATCTTTGGGGTGAAGTGGTTTTAACTGCTTGTTTTGTGTTGAACATGGTGCCACATAAGAAAACCAAAATTACACCTTTTGAGGTGTGGAAGGGCTATAAGCCGAACTTGGGATATTTTAAAGTATGGGGTTGTTTAGCCTTTGTAAGGTTAACTGACCCTATAAGGCCTAAATTGGGTGCTAAAGCTATTACTTGTGTTTTTCTTGGATATGCTTTAAATTTTGGGTAATGCTAGGGAGACCATCTATTTGTACCATATTTTTGTACCAACTAATGTGGCTGTTGAGTTGGCTATGCCACATCGTCAAATGAGCTTTTAATATATATATATATATATATATTTTACTCTTCACTTGACAGAAACCTAAGCGGTGTAGGAAGTTTTGTTTCACGTATATTCAAATAGTTCTTCCCTACCTCTTCCCCTTCCTCATCCCTTATCTTCTCTCTAATCTGCCAACGACAATAAATCATACCAGAGTTTTTCCCGACGCCGGTGACGATGGTAAGTTCATCTCTATTTTACTCTTAGGTTTTCTCTTGTTGGGTGATGACTGAAATTTTTGGATTGATTTTTTGAATCATTGAGATATTTGTATTACTCTTAAGATCAGTATTGAATACTTTTGTATTAATTGTATATCATGTTCAATATTTGTTTTGGGTCTCATAACTAGCTGTTTTTGGTTCTTTCTACGGATGACTTGACATGCCTCCCTCCATACTTGAAGTCTTTGATTTTTTTTTCTTATTTTGAGTAATCTTATGTTACTGGGAGTTTTGTTTTCTCCTATCCTTATTCCCTTTTTGTGTCTTGTGTGTAGTGTTTGTTTTCTCCTATGCATATGGCACTCATGCAAAATGAACAATATGTTTTGCAAGTTCAAATAAAATACCATGGGTATAATATTACAATGGTTGTTGTGTTGAAACCTCTTTTTCCTTGCTTGTATGGATATGGGTCTTTGTAATTTATGTTGGTTGCTATTTTGAAACCTCTTTTTCCATGCCTATCACTACTATGCAGATCCTATTTTATTTTGTAATCATGTCTTCAAGTAGCTTTACGAGTTCATATATTAATCAAGAAGATGATGAGGTTCGAATGGAAAAGAATGATGAAGTGAGGAGCCTGAATTGGAGAATAGAGAGAATGTGCAAGATCCTCGAGTTGGGATGACTTTTAACAATATTGATGAGATAGTTGTCTATTATAGAGAATATGGGAAGCAATTAGGGATTCCTGTGAGGAAGAGAACATCACAAAAGGGAGATGAGGGAGAATTGAAATATGTGACTATTTCATGTGGTCAAGAAGGCAAATATAAAAGTAAATCAAGTAATGTCCTAAAGCCACATCCAAGTATAAAAACTGGTTGCAAAGCTAGAGTAAGAGCAGGTATACTTTTAGATGGAAGGTGGCAAATCAACTTTATCAAGCTTGATCAGAACCATGATATGAGTCCAACCAAGGCTCGTTATTTTCGATGTCATCGGACAATAAGTTCAGATGTGAAAAGGAGGATTGAGTTAAATGATAAAGCTGGAGTAAGGTTAAACAAGAGCTATAATCCATTAGTGGTTGAAGCTGGGGTCCATGAGAATATCTCATTTTTGGAAAAGGATTGTAGAAATTATATTGAAAATGTGAGACGATTACGGCTTGGGGAAGGCGATGCTACTGCAATCCAAACTTATTTTTTGAATATGCAAGCTCAAAATTCAAATTTCTTCTATGCAATTGATTTAGATCAAGATGGTCGTTTAAGAAATGTATTTTGGGTAGATGCAAGAAGTAGGGCGATATATGAGGAATTTGGAGATGTTGTTACATTTGATACAACGTACTTGACGAATAAGTATGACATGTCATTTGCTCCATTTGTGGGGTTAAATCATCATAGGCAATCAATTTTACTTGGATGTGGGCTGATTTCAAGTGAAGATACTGATGCTTTTATTTGGTTGTTTAAGTCTTGGCTTGCATGTATGCATGAGCACGCTCCTAGGGGAATAATTACTGATCAAGATAAAGCCATGAAAAATGCCATTGAGATTATTTTTCCTAATACTAGACATCGTTGGTGCTTGTGGCACATAATGAACAAGTTTCCTAGTAAGTTGAACCGTTACAAGCAATATGAAGCTATTATGTATGCCTTGCAAAGTATTGTGTATGACTCATTGGAGAAGGTTGAGTTTGAAGAAGATTGGGATGAAATAATTGAGAAATATGAGTTACAAGACAATGAATGGTTGGTTGGACTATATAATGAGAGACAACATTGGGTACCATGTTTTGTGAAAGATAGTTTTTGGGCAAGAATGTCTACCACACAACGAAGTGAAAGTGTGAATGCATTTTTTTGATGACCATGTAAATTCTAAGACTACTTTAAAGCAGTTTGTGGAGCAATATGAAAATGCATTGAAAGTTAAGGTGCAAATGGAGAAGCAAGAAGATTTTAAGTCTTCATCCATTGGTTTTGATTGTGGAACTCATTATAACATGGAGAAACATGCTCAAGAGGTTTACACTATTTCCAAATATAAAGAATTCCATGATGAATTAATAGGCAAAATGTATTGCGACTATGTTTCACATAAAGTGAATGGTGCAAATTTTGAGTACCAAATATATGAGGATTTCATGATGGAAGGGAAAAAAGAGAGGCTCTATTTCAAGGTTTGGCTTAATGAAGATGACACTGAAGTCCGGTGCAATTGTCACATGTTTGAGTTTAGAGGCATATTATGCCGTCATACAATATATGTTTTTATTCGCCATAACATTGACTTGATTCCAGAAAAATATATAATGCGAAGTGGAGAAAGGATGTGAAAAGATGTCATACAAGGATTGAAATCAATTATGAAAGCTGTAGTCTCACACCTGAAGCACAACGATGTCATGAGATGCAAAAAGGCTTTTGATGAGATTAAGGAATTGGCAAATGATTCTGACAATAAGTGCATGATTGTGATGACTTGGATGGATAATGTAAAGGAGGAACTCTCCAAACATAATGTTTTTGGTGGTAGTGATCAACCAAATCCTCAGTCACCTATTGGTAGGAACATTGAGAATGATGTTAGTTCAATTTCGAATCCAAGTCAACGTATTCTTACTCCCTTAGCAGCTAGAAAGAAAGGCCGTCCACCATTTAAAAGGAGGAAATCTCAGTCGGAGCAAGCAGTCAGGAAGAAACAAGATAGTAAAAAGAAGAAACAAGAGAGTAACAAGAAAATCAAATCTTGTGGAAACAACACAAATGGAGAGAGAATTGAATGTATGCAATTAAAATGGATACATTTTTTTATTATTTTCTAATGTATTATCAATCAATAAAGTAGTTTATTGTGACTGTCCTTGAATTTTTATGCAGGATTTGCAGCTAACAGAATTTGATGATACTTGCCATATTGTTGGTTCATCTACTTCTAAAGGTGATGGTGTAGTTGGAACACAAGAGAGCATTACTATGCAGGTATGACATGAATGTTTTGTTTTAATTGATTGTTTTTGTTTGTTAAAATTCATTGTTAGTACGAAATTCGTATTGGCATTTCCTAGACTTTAGTGTAGGGTGAAAATTAGTTTGTGAGGAATTGTTATTGAACTCTTTGTCACTACTCTTTCAACCCCACACTTCCGAGGCATGCCCTGACCATATGAGAATCTTGACCTCAGGTAAATCATGACATAATCACGCATTCATTATAGGATTCCTAGTTGGAGTTATTTTCACTCAAGTATTTTTATGTTAATCTTATTTCTAATAAGATTAGATTTTATCTCTTGAGATTACTTTCCTAGTTGGACTCTATTTTGATTTAGATCAAAATATTATGTTTTCATTATCTTGGACTTGGAAAGGATGTTTTAATTAATATCCTATTTGGTTTCGTGTTTACATCTTGATATATATTGTTTAATTGGATAAACAATTGATTGTAGTGCAATGGAGAATATGACGAAATCATATAGGATTCTAAGACTATCAGATTGAATGCATGGCAAGATATTGTGTTGTGATTGTGGGCCTTCCATTGGTACAACTTTTGAGATATTTGTTTTGAGCATATAAAATTCTAAGAAAAGCTGTTGTGCGTATATTTGAGATAAATCATCAAGTGTTCAATGTTTACTTGGTGATTTATCAAACACTTTAATCATTCATATTGCATTCATATGCATGTCGGTGACTCATACGGTTGAGGGCATCAAGACCGTGGTGGCGGTTTTCCTCCGGTGAGCTTGAAGCAATCGTGGCCAGTATTGCGTTCAACATAAGGAGTGTCGAAGATCATCCCGTGACAGAAGTTGAGTTACGAAGAAGTCGGTAAACATTATCTAGAATGTGTCTAGGATAAGTGTGTGAGTACTTCTTGTAATCATCGTTCTATAGTGGATTTGTGTTGGACTGAGGAGTCCCGTGGATTTTCCCCAGAGGTGGGGTTTTACCACGTAAAATAATTCTCTGCGTGTTCTTTTATTTTATGCCCAGCACGTTACAGGATTGATAAGCCATATCAATCCTGCTACCGAAGTTTATTTTTATTTATTTGATTAGAATCTTAAATTGGCCTATTCACCCTCCTCTAGGCATTTTGAGTCATCCTGCAGGTATTTTCACATTACAGTCATTCGCTCTAGTATTGATGATTCTCTAGTTGTAACGACCAATATTATGGAAACATTGCAGGAAAATATGGCCACATTTTTGGGTTTTACTCAAAATGGTCAATTCAATCAGTTGTATAGAGGGTACGAGATAGGACATATGGCTCATCCAATCCTTCATGAGAATCATTTTCCGGTAGTAGAAAAGAAGTTTAATTTAAGAACTTTCAATACTTTTTATTTATTTTATATTAAAATGTTGAATTTATCTATTGTTTCCTCTTTTTTTTCTTTTTTCTTTTCATATTTAGGATCATCAATATCAATATTGGAATGAAGACTATAATATATACATGCCTAGCTTTAATTATGGAGGAAGTGGTGGCCAACGAAACTGATCATTGGAAGCAAAAGAATCGCACTTGCAGAAGTTGTCAACACTTTTGAACTTAAAAATTACATTTTTTTGTTAATGTAGACGTTTTGCTGTTAGTGTTGTAATTGAAAAGACCATATTGCTTTAATGTAGACCATATTGCACTTGAGATTGAATGGTTGTAGTTTGAGATTGGATTAAGGTTGCTACAACCTTTGATTGAATTCGGGTGCCACCCTTTTAGTTTGAGATTGGACCTGCTGTTTTGTTGCCATAAATCATTTCTAGAGGTTTGTTCATATCTGCCAATCCCTATTAAATCAGCCCATTATGATCAGAATTAGTCAAAAGCAAGAAACCTCATTTGAAATCAAATACATTCTATATATCATGGAAGTGAAGCATACAAAGGCAACAAATCCAGTTTGTAACAGGCCCCCAAAATTGTGTTGTTTTTGGACCAACTGGACTATTCAAGAATGCTTGGAATGATGCCATATCATAGCTGCTTAGAATCTTTGTAAAGTCAAAGGAAGAAAAAGACCATTCACCAATGACAAGATACATGAGGGAAAAATCTGAACGTAGGCCTTGTTTGCCATGAAAACTTTCATTTGCACAACAAGAATTCAACTTTCATGTGTTGGAAACGTAAACAACGAATGCACCAAAGCATCAAATGCATGATTAAGATAATGATTTTAATTGCTTAAATGAACATCAGAAATCATTGAAGCACTTCTTCAAACGATATACTTAATTGCAGTCACAAACATTTAAACACTAAAAAGACCAAGCGTTGTCAAGGAGATATGTTACGACATGGTGCTTGCTTTGGCTACTGGAAGCCTTAGAAAATGCATCATTGGAATGAGCAGAGGAAAGTGAGGGTGTTCTATGACTTGCTTGAAAAAGGTGAAATTAGTGTTGTTGCTGAGGAATAGATAGTTTCCATCATGATTTGATGGACGACATCATCAGTCTCTCCTTTCCATGGGTCTTCAACTTGAGATGAGCTTAGTTTGGGTATTGAAATAATAAGTTTATCGTACTATTGTGCGCTACAGTATTATTTCAAATAATTAGTCTCTTCTTCAAACGGTATACCTAATTGCAGTCACAGACATTTAAACACTGCAAAGAAAGAACCATGATTTATCCTAACCAAAAAGAATCTCAAATCTTCACGATGAAAAATAACTTATGATGAACAAGTCCCAGAAAACAAATAAGAGGTCGGAGATGACATGGTCTGAGCCAGGGTAGAGATGGGTGGGCTTCACTATCGCTGGAAACAGAGTCAATGATTACAAGTTAATTTGCCACCCATCGAAACTTGCTCCTGAAAACTTAGCTAAGAAACGCTCTCTCTCTCTCTCTCTCTCTCTCTCTCTCTCTCAGACCGGTGAGTCAAATTGGAGAGTCACATCACATGCATACAATATATTCAGGGTCACATCATAGGGTTCATCAATTCAAAATATTTAAAAATCAAATAAAATTGCAACAACCCCCCCAAGCCACCAGTTCTTTCGCCTTCTCTCTCCTCCCAATGTACTCCCCCCACTCCTAATATATTACTTACTGCTGAAACATGGAAGAATTGAATCTTAGATCAAACATGCCTAGCAAGCAAAGATTCACCTTCATGGAAAGGATTATTCATTTGGATCGACATGAGAGTCCAACTACATTGCATTGTCGTAATCCATGTTGTATATTTGAAAGGATAATTCATGGGGGAGAAATCAAATTCCGCTTTGTATTGATCTTGTATTGCTTTTGTTTATATATTTTTTCATGTTCGATCCCATATAATTTTTTTCAACACCTTTTTCTTGATTTAAAATAGTTGATTTAAAATCTGCTTGGCCCGTGTATTCTTTTTTCCCTTGATTTTAGTTTTCTTATTCAAAATACTTTTTTTCATTCGCTGATATTGATATAAAAGGATCTAATCTTTTTTATTTATTTCCAGTGATGCTTTTGTTTTAACTAGCATTTTCATTTATATTATAATTTAAAAGTAGTAATTTAATTGGTATAATCAACGGTTTAATTTTACATGTATTATAAAGTATCTCCAATTTTGAGAAGAACCAAAATTCCATATTTGATAGGGGACAACATAGTATTTCTTCATTTATCCCCATCCAATAAAAAAACTTTTTTTGATTGGATAGGTTGATTTCTTGATCTTGTTGAATTGTGAGATTAAAAAAAGACCCCTCTTATTGATTTTATGAATTATTTAGTAGATATTAACCCTAATCTTAGTATATTTATTATTGTTAGTGTCGGTGCAATATTAACGCAGGCGTCAATATCGACCTTATTTTTAGAGTAGTGATTTCCCCACTCCAATTTTATCCACTTACACTCTATTTTATAACTAAAAAAAGAGTGTAAGTGGATAAAATTGGAGTGGAGAAATCATTACCCTATTTTTAAGACAAAACCTATCCCACCTCCCTTTCAAGACTCTCCCGACCTGCTCACCCTCCTTATCATGACCTCCTCTTCACTTCGACCCCACCCTTTCCCCATCAAATTTTTTAAAAAATTTATTTAGTTTCTAAAAAATATTTTCTAAATAAAAAGATTTTATATGAAAAAATAATAGAAAACACAGGGAAGAAATTGGCAATTCTTGTAAAACACAGGGACCAAATAGGGTATTTAACCATACTCTTTTTTATCATATCTATACGAGTAGCATGACGACGTCGTATATGACTTTCCCCAACCCAACAACAAAATCGAAGGCCAACCCGCAACCTCGATCGTTGCAAAGGCACTTTGTTTGCTGGCAGAAAAGGGAATAATAGGCGTCGTCGATTCGATGGATGCCTCACTGGGTAATGGCGAAATGCCAAACCAGAACCCTATCAATCCAAGAAGTAACGTGATTCTGGTTCCGTCGTCTTCATCGCCGGTGTGGCCCACCATTGACGGCCCACTGGGGCTCTCTGAGGAAGACTCTGTGAGTTACGCGCGTAGATTCTACAAGTTCGGGTTCGCTCTGCTCCCCTGGCTTTGGGCCCTCAACTGCTTCTACTTCTGGCCCGCTCTCCGCCACTCCCGCTCCTTCCCTCGCATTCACCACTGTATGCTGCCCATCTCTCTCTCTCTCTCTCTCTCTCTCTCTCTCTCCGAATTGATATTTTGGTGGACATTTTAATGGGTTATTGATATAAGTTTTTATTTCACTGCATGCTGCCCATCGTTCTCGTTGATTATAATTACAAATTAAAGAAAACATGTTTGGTTTTCAAAAATTTAACAACAATTTAAGCAAACCCATTTTTGTTAGATTGAATTATAGTCAGAGCTGGTTTAGTTTTTCATTTAGCTACTGTGGAATTGGAAGGGAATTAGCAATATCCAGTACTAACATCAAATGCATAAGGCTCCCATTTTGAAATAGTAATTCAAATATAGGGATTTAGTTAATATTTGGATTCTTTGATTCGACTGTTAACAACACAAATATTTGGGACAAAAGGACGAAATATATTTCAAATGATAATTGTATGGAATCATTTCAAATTCCATCAATTACATTGTGTCTAGTTACTTATATTTTTTTCAAATACTTTTTATCTAGTATACACACACACACCCATATATATTTTAGGTCCTATTTATTATATATATTTTATGTATAAAAAAAAACTAATCTATATTTCTTGTGAAATTCAAATGCTCTCCTTGAGATCATTCAATCAAATCTGGACCCTGTAACACCCTCGTAAGGTTTCATTTCCAGGATGTGTAATTATGCTCAGGCAAAGGGCTTGGAATTGAGTCCGAGTCAGTCCTTATCACCCTTCTAGATGGGTCTTGTAAGACACAATATGTTGGAGTGCTGTCCAATTTAATTAGTTCCGTCCCAACATTTTTAAGTTCACCAAATAGAGTCCAGGATATTGGTCCAATTTAATTGAAATAGTCTAGTCCAGGCCGAGCCACCAAACGAAGCCCAAGTATAGCGGGTTATGTGCTTCATGGGGACTCCTGTCCAGAGTTTGAAAACCCTAACCCTTTGGTTTCCATTGCCACCCCCAAGAATTAGTCCGTATATTTACCCTGTGCTTGTAGGATAGGGGACTGCCCATTTTGGGGCACTACCCTGTGCTCTGAGGATAATGTGTTAGCCGGAAAAAAAAAAAAAAGGAGAATTAAAAATAGAATCCAGATTTTGGTGGACATTTTAATGGGTTATTGATATAAGTTTTTATTTCACTGCATGCTGCCCATCGTTCTCGTTGATTATAATTACAAATTAAAGAAAACATGTTTGGTTTTCAAAAATTTAACAACAATTTAAGCAAACCCATTTTTGTTAGATTGAATTATAGTCAGAGCTGGTTTAGTTTTTCATTTAGCTACTGTGGAATTGGAAGGGAATTAGCAATATCCAGTACTAACATCAAATGCATAAGGCTCCCATTTTGAAATAGTAATTCAAATATAGGGATTTAGTTAATATTTGGATTCTTTGATTCGACTGTTAACAACACAAATATTTGGGACAAAAGGACGAAATATATTTCAAATGATAATTGTATGGAATCATTTCAAATTCCATCAATTACATTGTGTCTAGTTACTTATATTTTTTTCAAATACTTTTTATCTAGTATACACACACACACCCATATATATTTTAGGTCCTATTTATTATATATATTTTATGTATAAAAAAAAACTAATCTATATTTCTTGTGAAATTCAAATGCTCTCCTTGAGATCATTCAATCAAATCTGGACCCTGTAACACCCTCGTAAGGTTTCATTTCCAGGATGTGTAATTATGCTCAGGCAAAGGGCTTGGAATTGAGTCCGAGTCAGTCCTTATCACCCTTCTAGATGGGTCTTGTAAGACACAATATGTTGGAGTGCTGTCCAATTTAATTAGTTCCGTCCCAACATTTTTAAGTTCACCAAATAGAGTCCAGGATATTGGTCCAATTTAATTGAAATAGTCTAGTCCAGGCCGAGCCACCAAACGAAGCCCAAGTATAGCGGGTTATGTGCTTCATGGGGACTCCTGTCCAGAGTTTGAAAACCCTAACCCTTTGGTTTCCATTGCCACCCCCAAGAATTAGTCCGTATATTTACCCTGTGCTTGTAGGATAGGGGACTGCCCATTTTGGGGCACTACCCTGTGCTCTGAGGATAATGTGTTAGCCGGAAAAAAAAAAAAAAGGAGAATTAAAAATAGAATCCAGAGGTATGGATTATTTTTATTAGCCAAAATACTGATATTTGAATTGGTTTTGGTTAATATTGGTATCAGATGAAAGTGAATTTTTGTCTCAGTTTCTTTGAAATTATATTGAATGAATTTTTTTTCTTTATTTTGCAATGACTCCATTTCATTTTTTCTTTAAAAAACAAAAAATATCTTCTCTATGGAGCTGCTGCAAACTGCAGTACAGTAACTTTCTTTTTTTAAATGTAATTTATCATTTACAATTTTTCTCGGTATACACTTTTTATGTGCATTTTTCTGAGTGTAATATTTAATGAAACTGGCATGATTGCCTGATGCACAGGAAAAAGATTGATGCGTTATTGATATTGTACCAGTATGTCTTTTGTGGTTATTAGCAAGAGCAGTTAGGAAAATAATGGTCTAATCTGTAACCTAACCAACTTTTAAACTTATCAGTGGGAAATGTTTATGTATTTTTCCATTAGCTCCAGATAGTATTTTGATTGAACTAGACAAAGATGGTAATTTGTTAATTTTATAAATTTTTTCTTTGCAATGAAGAGGGGCTCGTCTTATGTGTAAGATATGATGTAATGTGGCAAAATATAGGTCAAAAAGATAAAAGTTGGTTACCACATAACTGAAATAGAATTTCCTTTTTACCAGACTGGAATAGAAAATTTAAAAGAAAGGAAAACTTCCCTGTCCCACCTAGGAATGTCAGACATGATTGCAGCTTGATTTAGCAATATGTTCAAATTAGATCCCTATTACATCATTTCAGAGATGATTACAGCATGACTTTTAACGTAGATGGTAGTATTGTGAGATTGCCAAACTCAAGCCTTATCCACAAAGATTACATCTGGATAATGGGCAGTAAACGGTCAAACAGAGAGAGAGAAGAATCATCCATTAGTTCTGGCGGACTTACAAGAAATAACTCCAGATGATTCCAACTCCCAAATTCTCATATCCCACCTAGTTCACACAAAATGACATCTTCTAGAATAGATAGTCAACCACTCCCCCCCATGTCCCAGTCATTCATATTTCTTCAAAACCCAAAATCCCAAGGAAAAGAAGAAGGATTCAAACACAAGCTAGCAGTAGAAGCAATATAAAATTGTCATGATCTGTATAAACAAGGGAAAAGAGAAGAAAATTGTGTTTCCTCTACCCATTTCTCTTTACAGTAGCTCACCCTTTACCCATTCCCCACACCTCATCTCTAGAGAAAGAAACAAAAGAATCTAGGCCTTGAGAGATGTCTAGAGCTGTGAATCTGTTTCTAGAATATGATAAACCTTATTCTATGCTGGTTGTTTTAAATGTGATAAAATTCACAAGATTCTTTTACCTTCAATAGAGAATAACCATTGTTTCTTATAAAAAATAGAACTCTAAAACTTTTTTCACTAGGGATCCCCATAGGTTGCTGCTTTTAAAAGAAGGTCAAGTTCTCTGATGTCATGGCTTCATAACAAGCCTTCAACAAACACTCATTTCTTTGATTTCATTTTGTCTTTGACTTACAAGAAAGAGTAGGTCTTTGTTATATTTTTTAAAAGAACTCCAAAAAGACACAGAAAAACCGTATAGATTTTTTAAAGAGTATGACACTCTAAGAAAAGGGAGGTTTTGAAAGACTAGATATTTGTACAAAACTTAAAAGGCATTCAATGGTTCAATAAACATAGAGGTTATTTGTTAAAGAATAGGAGTCTAAGATGAAAGGAGTGTTAAAGATTACGATATTAGTTTTCCTAACGGACTCGGATTGTATCCAATTTTCCTTTGGAAACCGAGCCTTAAGGAGTTCTATTATTTGTATCTTGAGCCAGAAATGCTCCCAAGCCCGCAACCAGAGGTCTTGCTGCTGTTCTAATGATAAATTATGTAGTTTCGTAAGGAGGCCCATGCTAATCAGCTTCTTTTTCGAGAACCTACTCCCAATATCCTCAATCTCCCCTGGCTCCAGTTGAGCAGGTAGGTAACTTTAGATAAAAAAAATCTCAGTCTATCCTGATGTCGGGCTCTGCCCCCCCTTGGGGCAGATTTAGGTCGAACCCTGCGGGTTCTGGCTGGAAGGATTGTAGAATTATATAAAAGACATAGAATGTTTCTAGCAGTCAAATACAGTAACCCTTAATAATTATGGACATTATCTCGTAGATTGACCTTGAGTAACTCTTAAAAATGTACCAAATTTTTTTATTTCCATAAACATTTCTCTTTGGACCAAAAAGGCCTTGTTACTGAATTGGGTCAACAGACTTAGTTTTGGACTGCTACAAACTTAGAGGAATTTTTTTCCCCTAACCAAGTCATTGCTACCGCATCAATTGCTTAAAGTCTCCTATGAATTGTTTGATTAAAATAATAGTATTTTAGTAGTTTGCTTATGTAAGGTATAACTGGTGCATGAACAAATCGACGAATTTGGTTGTTTGTGGAGCAAAATTTTCTCTGTATGGTCGGATCTATTTCCTTTTAATACATCATGTCATGAAGTATAATTGTTTGGCTTTCTGAATCGCACATTGTAAACTATAGAACTTATGTTTCTAGGTTAATATGCTTTTAATAGTACGCACTTATTGCAGATGTTTTGAGATCAGCAGTTGGGCTCACAGTATTTACTGTTCTTCTTGCATCATGGGCACTTACGTTTGTCATCGGAGGGGAGCGCCTGTTCGGACATGTTTGGGATCAACTGGTGATGTACAATCTTGCTGACAGACTAGGCTTGACAGGTTGGAGCTAAGTCTACGCCTTGGCTGAACTTCACCGGTACAAAAACACTTGTTCATGGCTACATTTTTTGTTTTTGTTCAATCATATAATTGCATTAGGTTGACAGAAAGGGACAGGGTGTTCATATCATAGGCTACATGAAATGCATTGGTGAATTTTAAATATTCTAAGCACGAGGTTGATTGTTTAATGCATTTTTACTATGTAAAGAGTTCAGAAGAGTTCACGAAGCCTTTGCCTTTTGTGCTCAAATATGTGATTGTGATATTAGGACTTGAATACATTTCCATTTCTGACTACTCAAAAATAAAATACAAGGTTGTTGGGAAACTGATTGGGGTACATCTCTCATGGTAACTGCAAATTACATTTTAAAGGTGAGATTATTGGATTGTCCAGTGAGGGTTTTTTCTTTCTTTGTTTTTTGGGTTTGCCAAGGGACGACGCAAATTGCAACCCCAGAGACTGCTAGAGCTTTGATTTGAGCTGCATGGGGAATAGCGTCATCTTTTCTGCCATTGCAGCCACAAAGACACTGTGCCAACATCTAATCACCTCCCGAGCGATACGCTGTAGCATCCGCGCATTCACTTTGAACCAACCATCATCCACATTCACTTTAAGGGGAGCACCCTTTGCTGGTTGCCGCTAAGATTGAATGGGCAGTTTAGTTGTGCCATGAGAGAGACTCGCAACGCTACCGTTTCATTCCTCCCACAAATGTGTATCCCTCTCATGCCATTTAAACCAGTTCAAAATCCTGAGAGAACTCCCACCCACCAAAATAGATAATAACGAGTCTTTCACCGACCCACCCATATCTCAAGAGGGTTTTGGTTTTGATAGTTTGGACGAAGGACAAATCTAAATCACTTTGACATGAATTTAAGTCGCAAACTTTAATTTCCAATTCAACTGTTAAACGGGAGTGCTTCCTGCTCCTACTACAGCTTGGATTGTGGTTTTGCAATACAACTTTATTGTTATTTATAGAGTCTGACTACCTAAAGAAAAGAAAAAAGTGCTTTTTTTTTTTTTTGGGGGGGTCAATTTTCATCATCAATATTAAAATTCAATAACAATTAAATCATATAATATTAAATGTTGGGCATTACCCTAATTCTAGTCGCTCCCTCCCCCTTGTTTTAGGTCGAAAAGTGTCTTCATAAGACCATCTCCAACCCTTGGGGTGGAAACTCAAATTTTGAGTTTAGCCTCCAAAAACCATCTCCAACCCATGTATTTTGGGAGGTGAAAATTTGAGATGCCTCAAAATTGGATTGAAATTCCACCAAGAATTCTGCCTAGACTGATAAATCTGTGGGGCCCAATTCTGCTTTAATAAATATTTTTTATCGGTTTGGATCAGGTGAGAACCTTATATGAGAATCAATCTCAACCATCCAAAGTATTCTAAACGGCTGAAGAGAAAAAGCAAGCTTAAGGTAGAAATGGTTACGCTACACTTACCTCTTTGCCCACATGTCCCCTGACGCGCCTTTTCCAATCTCGCCTTTGCCTTTTCCAATCGCGCCTTTTTTCGCAAGGAATATGTAGAAATTTTCAGCGTATTTTTCTGATTTTTTAATGATTTTTCGTGATTTTTTTTAAGATAAACTCAAAAAAATGAAACATTAATGATATTTGGCGCTATGAGATACTGACACCCGTTGGAAAAGCTGATGACGCACCCATCAGGCGCTGCCATGTGTCATTCTCTTCTATTTATTACTATATTCCAATCTTTTGACTTCCAAAAATCATAATAAATTTATAATAAATCTGAAAAATTCACCGAAAAATACCCCGGACTCCTTGTGACATTACCAACATATTTTGAGACTTAAAATATAATTTTGACTAAGAGAAAATTCAAATAATTTCACAAAGTCAAGTTTTCTTTCATACTAACAATAACATTAAGTTGAAGATACTAGTCTTCATCTCTACAACTCTTCTTCCAATTATTACTTCAAATTTTCCATAGTCAAATTTTGATTTTCGAGTATCATAGTCGAAGATAATATCGCAAGGAATATGTAGAAATTTTCAGTGTATTTTTCTGATTTTTTAACGATTTTTCGTGATTTTTTTAAGATAAACTAAAAAAATGAAACATTAATGACATTTGGCGCTATGAGATACTGACACCCGTTGGAAAAGCTAATGACGCACCCATCAGGCGCTGCCATGTGTCATTCTCTTCTATTTATTACTATTTTCCAATCTTTTGACTTCCAAAAATCATAATAAATCTGAAAAATTCACCAAAAAATACCCCAGATTCCTTGTGACATTTCCAACATCTTTTGAGACTTAAAATATAATTTTGACTAAGAGAAAAATTCAAATAATTTCACAAGTTTGCTTTCATACTAACAATAACACGAAGTTGAAGATACTAGTTTTCATCACTACAACTCTTCTTCCAATTATTACTTCAAATTTTCCGTAGTCAAATTTTGATTTTCGAGTATCATAGTCGAAGATAATGTCGCAAGGAATACGTAGAAATTTTCGGTGTATTTTTATGATTTTTTGTGATTTTTTAAGATAAACTCATAAAAATGAAACATTAATGACACATGGCGCTATGAGATACTAACACCTGTTGGAAAAGTTGATGACGAACCCATCAGGCGCTGCCATGTGTCATTCTCTTCAATTATTACTATTTTCCAATATTTTGACTTCCAAAAATCATAATAAATCTGAAAAATTCACCAAAAAATACCCCAGACTCCTTGCGACATTTCCTACATCTTTTGAGACTTAAAATATAATTTTAACTAAGAGAAAAATCCAAATAATTTCTCAAAGTCAAGTTTGCTTCCATTTTATCAATAACACTAAGTTAAAGATCACTAGTTTTAGGTTGGTCATTTTAATCTTTTATTACACAAACTGCATTTTTTTGGGTTTTAGGGGGAAGAAAATATATCAATGACTTCATAGGAGTTGAAGTTGAATTTTTTGAATTTATTTTAAATTTTGAATTAAAATTTTGAATTAAAAATAATAAAATATTCTTATGTCAACAACAAACCACGGCAGGGTTAAGTAACTACTGACGTTGTAAATAATAATAAACGACTCACGTGTAAACAAAACGTCGTTTAAAAGAGAAACGACGTCGGATTTTTCACCATACGACGTAAACTCAATATTCCACGACTCAATCACCGTCGTTAAAAGTAATACCCTAAACTTTAAAACCCTAAATTATATATTTGTAAAATTTAATTTTATAAAATTGTTTATGGTTTTACATCCTAA